GCAGTTAAAAGCTGCCTACCTTGGGTGCCAGGAACTGAACTTGGGTCCTCTGGAAGAGCAGCATGTGCTCTTAACTGCTAAGTCATGTCTTAGCTTCTCCACTTTATTTTTTTGAGACAGAGTCTCTTACTGAACCTGGAGTTCCATGGCCAGATTCTGTCTTGATAGTAGTGCTGAAATTACAAATGAACACAAGTACACCTGGTTTTTCACACAAGTTCCAAGGATTCAAGCTACAGTCCTCATGCTTGTACAGCAAGCACTTTACCCACTGAGCCACCTCCCCAGCATCCAGAAGAGCCCTCTGCAGAGAGCTTGGAGCAAACAGAGAGGTATATCTTCACCTACCCTGAGCAGGGTCTCTATAGCCTAACAGTAAAGATAACTACATGAATCTGGCCGTGGGGGATGCTTGCCTTTAGTCCCAATACTAGTCCCAGTCCCAGCAAGAGAGAGAGAGAGAGAGAGAGAGAGAGAGCTACATAAAAGCTCCAAGAAAGGATCTGTCCTGGATGCCAGGTTGCTCTTAGCAACCCAAGTCCTTATACTCAAAGGACAATTGAATAGGCACAGACAAGAGAGACTTCCCCAGACTTCCTTTAGATGCCATTTATAATGGTCACAAACATGGCAGCATTAGCTTTGACTTGCACCTTCTGATGTGCTCCCAGAATGGGAGTTCCTATGACAACTGATTTTCCAAAAAGATCCCATGAGCTGGGGATGAAGCTCAGTTGGTGAATTGCTTGCACAAAGTCCTGAATTTGATCTTCAGCACTCATAAAACCTAACGTGATGGTGCAAGCCTGTAATCCCTACCCTTGAGAGGTGGAGACAGGAGGATCAGGAGTCACAGGTCATCTTTGGTTGCATCATAAGTAGCCTGTATAAATAAGACTCTGACTCAAACAAAACAAACACTCCAATGTGGTGAGGCACATCTTTAATCCTAGTACTTGGGAGACAGAAGCAGGTGGATTTCTGAGAGTTTAAGGTCAGCTTGGTCTCCATAGAGAGTTCCAGGCCACCCAATGCTACATGGTGAAACCTTGTCTCAATACAACAACAACCCATGAGGCCCTGGTGACCTATAAGCACTGTAACTCAGCAGCAAGGAAAGAAATGCAACAAGCCCCAGGATTTGCCACACTCCAGGAAGGTTTAGATGAAAATATAGAGGGTAGCAAGTGTTCTGTATGAGATCTGTCCCTGGAAGGGTGTCTCTCCTGAATGAATTGCATTCACCCTCCTGCATTTAGGGACGTTCAGAGCATCCTCAGTAGTTAGAAAAGGAGGTATAAAACAGATGCAATGAAAGGGGAACCTGCCCACAGTCGAATAAGTGATGCACATGCTGGACCGTACAGGGCAGTGAGAAGAGGACCAAATGCACCATGACTCCACCTACATAAGGTTCAAAGCCCAACAAAATAGTTTATGCACCTTGTGATCAGTTAGGGAAGTGGCACCACAAGGAGGTGCTCCCAGACCACAAAAAGGTACAGACACTTGCCTCTGGCTACAGCCTTTGCTAATGATCCAGGCTGGCATTTTTGGGTGGGTCCAGCAGGGACCTTAGGAAGATGCTGAGCCAGTAAGGGCAGATTATCTTGGTAATATAGGCTGTAATTGGGAATGAGATGAATCTCAGAGGACACATTGACCTTGACTCAGACTCTCCTTTGGGTACCAGGAGCCTGGACCACTCATGGTCTTGGGAGGGAAGAGAAATTCATGACTGAGACCTTCTTGGCATATAACAGCCTCAAATCTCTCCAAGGATTGCCTTGAAGTCTAGGCTGAGAGAGTGGCACTGGGAAGTGGCTGGCTGGCTTTGGGGCTTTCTTAGGACCGTGTCCCTGAGTCTCATCTTGGCTGGTGAAATAGATGCCCTCAAAGATGGAGCCCAGAGCAAGGGAGGCAGCCCCTTTCCTCCCTTTCCCTATCCCAAGAATTTTTCTCAGGAACATTATGTTCAGCATAGTGGCTCTTAGGAGGATTTAATCTATTAGTCCCTGGCTATTAGTCCCCCCATCCCACAGCATAGCCACCCAGCCCAAAAGGTAACGTAACTTCTAGTGCCCCAAACAGCTGACTGCTTATCCTACCTTCACTGACTAAGAGTCTGTCATTAGTTGTAAAATGGAACCTTCTGGAGTTGAGGCTACTGAGGGCAAATTCCACATACTCAACTAGCATCCCAATTTTCAGCCATGTGGTAAGGAATGTAGCTCTCTTGTACTGACCTTTGAGCCCCAGTGCCCATCTGCAAATTGGGCTCAATGACATACCTGATCAAGAGCCATACAGACTTCACCTAGACCCTGTAAATAACATGCTTCACTCTCTATCTGGATGCTTTTGTTGGGATAAAACCTCACAGAGTAGACTAACCCAAGTGTGGCTGGGAGGGGAGGGTCTTGCAAAGAGGCTTCAATAATAATAAAGCAACTGAAGACTGAGGTCCTTCCCAAATGCACACATGCACACTCAGTCACATGGCAAAACAACACACAAATGCACATATTTACGTGCACACACACATGCCTAAGCACACGTAACCAAGACTCTGGGCTCTGCACCTTGGGAGTCAGCATGGAAAGCCCAGCTCAAGTCTCTGCTGTGTGTTCTTGACTAAATTGCTTCACTTCTCTGAATTCTGCTCCCCATCCCATGAAATGCACTCACAGTAGGCCATTACATGGGTCTGTTGTGAGAATTCAACACAGTGATGTTTAAGCAAAAGCTAAGAGAGTACTGAGAAGGGGAAATACTCCACAGTGTGCAGACGGCTGAGATCTGGTGAGAGGAGGAGGAAAAAAGAGAGGTAGAAGGCAGAGGGAGCAGGAGGACACACCCCCAGGGCCAGCTGATTGCCCACCAGTGAAGGTTAGCCACCAGCAGGGGCAGGTGGTGAAGGGAACAGCTTCACTCAGAGCTCTTACATGATTGGCCAGACTGGATGGGGCTTGTCTGACAGCTCTGCAGCCCCCACACCAATTAGAGGCACTTAGTCACAGGTTCCTGCCTGCACTTCCTCTCAGCAGCAGGAGAAAGAACAGCCTTGATGGGGCTAGTCCTTCCCACCCCCTCCATCCCACCTAGCCTAACTCAGATAAGGAGGAGAATGGGTAGCAATCCAGCAAAGCAGAGCTTGGCCTCCAAGGCCCAATGGGCTCTATGGGAGGGGACAGACTGAGGTGGGAGCGCATTTAGAACACAAAGGATGGAGCTTTGGCTAGCAGTTCCTACAGACTAAGAAACTGGTACTACATACCAGCCTCCTACTTCATGTGTTACGTCAGAGTGCATGGCAGGTCAAGCTGAAACATGATGCTCAGAGCCTAAGCAAAAGGTTTGAAAACAGGAACTTCGCAAAGCAAAGATGTATTGGCCCCACTTTCATCAGCACCTGACCCATGCATGTCCCTCCACTGATCTGAGCCTTCATTTCTTGTTTCCTTTTTTATTTTTATTTTTTTTTTAATTTTGGTTTTTGAGCCTGTCCTGGAACTTGCTCTGTAGACCAGGCTGGCCTCAAACTCATAGAGATCTTTCTGCCTCTGCCTCCTGAGTGCTGGGATTAAAGGCATGTACTGACATTGCCCTGCGAGCCTTGATTTCTTTGTGAAGTGAGAGACTGGGAGACACTTCTGGACCAGGTTCCTTAAGTGTTGAAAGAAGCTCTCCTCCTCCTTGCTTTGTGATATGAGAGCTGATGCTTCTCTGAAGGGACAGTCTCTTGGAAAGAAGACTGTCCCTTCCTCACCTCTCCAGCCAGCAGCTGTCCTAAGCACACTAGACTGATTTCCTACATGCATAAATGTGCCCCCTTCTCTGCCACCTGCTGCTGCTAGGATCTTCACCAAAGAAGAACTCAGGCAAGATTTCTAGGAACCACTGGGCTCTTGCACTGGGTAGGGGGTGGGGGTGGGGTCTGGGTCAGACCTGGGGTAACACCCTGGGCCCACAGCCTCCCACCCTGCTAGGGTTCTACTTCCCCATATACTCATGGATAGTACATTTCTCTGGTGTTCTCTCTGTCCCCAAAGAGACCAAAATCCACTAGCCCTTCCGGAATCATAGCCAGGTTACCATGGTGATGCCTATTATCTGGGCTTAACGGGAGATGAATCAGTAGCTAAAAATAACCCCAGAGTGGATAGATAGATTGATAGGTGGGTGGGTCTGATTCAGGATTGGGACAATTTGTTTTTCTCAGACAAGATAATTGAGAGGAAATTTCAATTAGAAATCCACCTCCACCCAGACAGGTGGAAGCTGCCCTCAGCCGACAGCTTGTGGCACATGGTGAATCCTGAATGCAAGCCAAAGTCACTCACCGCTGCTGATACACCAGCAGCTGAGGGGACCTAAAGACCATGCCCACAATCCTTACTGTTGTAGGTGACCTGGTGAGCCTGGTTCTAGGGACATTCACACCAGATCCCCTGAAGCAAGAAAGGCACAAGGAGCCCAGCAGTGGTGGTGCAGCCTTTAATTCCAGCACTTGGGAAGCAGAGACAGGTGGACCTCTGTGAGTTTGAGGCCAGCCTGATCTACAAATCAAGTTCTAGGACAGCCAGGGCTATTACACAGAGAAACCCTGTCTTCAAAACAAAACAAACAAGGCAGAAGGATATGAGGATAAGGGATACTTTATTATACCCAAGGCCACCTCCCACAGACCCTGCAGGCCCCATCGTCTCAGGTATGCGCACGGGTAAGAGTGACACCAGACAGGACAGAGAAACCTAGGCCTAGGTGTCCTGGAGGGTGGGGGAGCCAACAAGTGTCTCCAGTTCCATCACCCTCCACCCAGGAAAGCACTCCATAACTGAGCTGCCAGGTCCCTCCAGTGCTCTCAGCATGCCTGTTGGGTGCAGGGAGGTGCAGGCATGGGGGGAGCTGCTGATTTCTGTCACTCCATGAGGCCTGGATTTCTTCATCTTGGGGAGTAGGTCACTGATCCAGAGCAACAGAACACAGGAGTGGGGCTGGGTCCTGGGCTAGGCGATAAGCTTCTGAGGGGTCTCTGGGGGTTCAGGAGGTGCTGTAGATGGATTTGTTGCGCAGGGACCCCTTGCCTGGCATCCTCAGGGTGCTGAGCTGGGACCGGCCCCTCCAGTTTGGGTGCCAAGGCTTCGAGGAGGCAGTTCTTTGTGGCTGTAGTATTCAACCACCTGCTTGGGCACTTCAGCCAGCACACACTTAGCCAATGCCGCAGGGGAGGCCTGAGTTCAGAGACAGCATGGTTACATCTGAAGGCCTTCTGTATCCTCATCCCGCTATCTGGGTCAAACGCCCAGGACTCAAATCTACTTAAGGGACATGTGACTTGGCAGGCAATTGAGCTTCTACTAGAGACACAGACTGAAAATGCACCCACCAGGCCCCTAGACTGTCCTAGCAATAGTTGATGGAGCTACCCACACTGTCCCCAGCACGAGTGCTGGGATCCTCGCCCAGCCCTTTCCTCTCTCCCAACACCACAGGAAATGGCACACGCTGAAAGGGAAGCGGGACATTGTGAAAACTTGCAGTATGCATGTGAGAGAGAATCCATGTGAGATGTTTACTGTGGAGAGGGCATGGCGAACTGTGTGCCAGGTCCACGGACCCCCCCCCCCACACTGCTCTCTCTGTGTCATAGATTTTAGGGCCAGAAGCTCATGATTCAGACACTGATCAGGGTGGAGAAAAAGACTGACTAGGAAGCCATCCCCAAGGGCTGCACTTTGGTGGGACACAAACAGGGTGGAACCATATCCTGAGCAGGGAAGCCATGTATGCAAGGAGCAGTGGCTATCCAACCGTTAATGCCACCCCCTTTGCAGCCACTTACATTCTTGAGCTCACGGAAGGGCACAAACTGAACGATGTCACGGAGTGCAGGCTCACCCCGTGGGGAACGCAGGACTCCATCATCACCATCTAGGATCTGCATATCAGTGAAATCAGCATTGCCCACCCCAACGATGATGACGGACATGGGCAGGTGGGAAGCGCGTACAATGGCCTCTCGAGTGTCTGACATGTCAGTTACTACACCGTCTGTGAGGATCAGCAGTATGTAGTATTGCTAGAAGTATAGGAAAGAAGTGGGGAGGGGCTGGTCTCTGGGTCCTCTCCAAGCCACACATGTCACATCCAGCTCCAGGCCCCATCAGGAGGAGCCCCTGCTGTGTGTAGCTCTGCAGTGCCCTGGCTTTTCCAGAACTTTTTTTTGTTGAAGCACAAGAATATTCATCACAATCTTAAATGTAAATTCCAATTGGCCACTGTGCAGAGTAAAGCTCAATGCTCCACTCATCATTGTCAAATGGCCAATGACTCTTCTGAGAGAGGCACCGCAGAATCTACTTTACAGACAAGGCCACCACAGCAGGGCTTGAACCCAGGTCTGAGATCAGAGGACTCCTAGATGGAGAGGGCATCAACACCCTGACTCCGGGGTGCCCAGATCATGCTGGACTTTGTCTCAAACATACATGTGTGTGCACAGACATAACACACAAAATGTATATAAGTGTAACTGAGACTTTTTAAAGCACCATTCAGTTTTTTGTTTTTGTTTTTGTTTTTTTGAAACAGGGTTTCTCTGTATAGCTTTGGAGCCTGTCCTGGACTAGCTCTGTAGACCAGGCTGGCCTTGAACTCACAGAGATCCGCCTGCCTCTGCCTCCCAAGTGCTGGGACTAAAGGTATGTGCCTGGCTAAAAACAACATTTAATTTTTAACACAGGATATTAGCATAGATTAAAACAGAAAAACAAGCAGGTATAGTGTTTCCCTATGAAGTTAAGGGAAAAAATGCTGAAACTCAGAATATTTGCAAAATGTATGAATGTCCTCTTAACTTAGCTCAGTGGTTCTCAACCTCCCTGGTGCCTTCACCCTTTAATACAATTCCTCAAGTTGTAGTGACCCCCAACAATAAATTCTCATTGCTATTTCATAGCTAATTTGCTATTGTTATGAATCATAATGCAAATATCTTGTTTTCTGAAGGTCTTAGGCGACCCCTGGAAAGGGTCATTGTATCCCTGTTGGGGTCGCAACCCACAGGTTGAGAACCACCATCTTAACTGGCCAGTTATAAATATATAAAATTGTTATAATCATAAAGTTTCAGTTATGTCTATTTTATCACAACAAAATAGTTAAACCAAAGGGTTTCTCTGGTGGCTTTGTAGACCAGGCTGGCCTTGAACTTACAGAGATCTGCCTGCCTCTGCCTCCCGAGTGTTGGGATTAAAGGTGTGGGCCACCACTGCCTGGCAAGACCTCAACTTTTAAAAAACTATTTTCCAAAGAAAACAAAAAAGCATAAAAGTTATTATAAAAGAAGGGAAACCCTAATCAGAAGACATACTGGCCACATTCATCACATCCACTCTGGACAGCACCTGATGAACCCTAGATGATTATTGTTGGAGCCCCTCCTTCCTGGAGCAGAGAGGAAGCCCAAAAGCCAGCCCTGGAGATGGATCCCCTGCCTGTAGTGTGCAACAGTCCCTACCCAAAGATTAGGCTTCTGGCCTCTACACCTTCCCCCAGCTCAGAATGCAGTTGGGCAGCAGGTCTACTCATGACCTGAGTGTGGGGGTTCATGGTGGAGCCTGTGGAGGTCAAGATCACGGGAACAAATGGGCATTGGTGGCACATGCCTTTAATCCCAGCACTTGGGAGGCAGAAGCAGGTGGATCTCTGTGAGTTTGAGGCCAGCCTGGTCTACAGAGGGAGTTCCAGGACAACCTGCAAAGCAATACAGAGAAACCCTGTCTCAAAAAACAAAACAAACAAAAAACAAAACAAAACTGAGGAAGATCCCAAGTCAGACCATACCCAGGGAAGATCTGGAGACAAGTAAGGATTAGATAGCAGGAGGGGTTGCCCTCTTTTACCTGCCAGACACAAGAGGTGATATACACAGGACCCACCCTGCAGACATGAGCAGTGTGAATATTTAAGAAGGAAGTGACATTAGGCTATAGCCTCTCAAATGGCTCAGAAGGACACTTAGAACATACATACACAAAAGGGGTGGAGGCAGGAGGTGTGGCAAGAAAGAGAGGATAAAAGGGGAGGGGACAAACTGGTAAATACTATGACCAAGTGGAGGAACAGAAGTGATGCACGAATCTGGTCACTTGTAAATATTACTTTCTTCTTCAAAATGAAAAATTAAGAGGAAGCAGTAGGCCAGCTGAGTCTCAAGAAAATGCACAGGGCTACAAAGAGCGGAATGCAATCCTAAGGAAAATGCTACAAACTTGCTTTGAGACTGCCTAAAAGAAAACAGATATGTGATACCTGGGGTCTGGTGGAAAGGGACATGAGGCAGGGGAAACTGAGGTAAACCCGTGTCTGTTCCAGACAGCTGAGGGCTGACTTTGAAATGATTAATTCAGTCCTCTGCCCAAAATAAAAGCTGACTGCCTGGGGCTTTGAGAACCACAGCTGACAGAATGAGCTCTTCCGTCATCCCACCCCATACTGCCTGGCTGCCTTTGCACTGGATTCTACCCAGACAACTGCTTCCCTGGCTCCTAGCCACTACTACACACATAGCTAATTGGTTCCACAGCTGGATGCAGGCAGCCCCTGTCCCCAGTCACCTACAGAGGCCTCCCCTGTGAGCTCCTCAGCTGCTGCCATGCGGGCCACCTTGGAGATGATGGGTGCCACATTGGTGGGGCCGTAGAGCTGGACCTTAGGCAAGCAGTTCTGGTAGGCCTCCACCACGCCCTGGATTCCTGTAGGAGAAAGAGGAGTGAGCCTGGCCCAAGGTACCTCTATGCCAAACCCACCACCAGCTCCTACCTTCGCATTCATCATCTTCAGGGTTGAAATTGATGGCAAAGTCATGGGACACCTGGGTGGGGACAAGAGTCAGCCAGGACCTTCCCAGAACCCACTTGATTCCCATTTACTGGGAGAAGTTGGTTTGTAGCTCTTAGGACCCATGTGAGAAGATCTCCATGGAGAGAAGAAGCCAAGAAGGAGGCAGAAGATGGACAGACTAATGTTGGGCTATTACTTTAGCACCTGGACCCATACATATTCTATAAGGTACATTAACCAATAAAAAACTCCCTCTCCTACCATCTTTGTATATGTAAGCACTTGGATCATTGCTGAGTCTTTCTGATAGGAGCATGGGTTGTGCCTATAGCTCCCATCAGTCATCTATCTGGCCCATAGGCCAGAGTCTCCCCACCCTCCATCCCCATCCCAAAGGGGAATGGTAGCAACCAGGGTCCATGTACCCAGGACACTCCTGCCTAGGGAGGTGAAGGTACTAGAGGCCTAGACAGATGTATGGGAGTAGGGATAGGGCCCCAGTCCAGGACCCTCCTACCTCATACTTGGGTGGGATCCGGGCTCCAAATCCCAAAGCAGAAAATCTCTTGTCACTGTAAAAGAGGTGAAGTTGAGTATGCCAGGAACCTGGTCCAAACAGCTGAGTCCAGGTAGATCCTGGACAGAGACTAGAAGGCCTGGGCCTTGCTGGGCCAAGAATAGGGATCATAAGCATTCTACACAGGGGAAACTGAGGCACTGAGCTGAAAAACCATGGTGAGCACATGCAGGAAAGGGTAGAGTTGACATTAGAAGGCTGGGAACCATTCTCTGGTTCTTCACTCCAGGCCTGAAGACCCTGCTTAGGGAGCTTCCTGGCCTGAGGTGGTATCTCCTGAAGGGCACCAACTCTGCTCCATTGTATTTCTCTGTGCTCCTCCACAGAGAGGGAGGGCTCCATGGGCAGGGGCCTCTGGGTGGGGATCTGGGCCATGGTGAGGATCTCAGAGCCCAGGAGGCCACATTTAGCCTCTGGCCAGCCTTTCACCTCAACCTCAGTGAGTGTGTTTTCTGTCCTGTAAAATTATCTCCAATCAAACCCCAGGTTTGTGTCACTCTGAAGGTGTGTGGTCATGTTAGAGACATAACACATCACCCCCCAATTCCCTGAAGGTTCTAAACCCACTGCCAGGTCAGTTGAGATGTCTGTCTGGTGGGCATACTGTCTGCATCCCCTGGATTGCAGCAAAGACACACACACACACACACACACACACACACACACACACACTTGCTTGAGCGGACCTCTTAGGCACATCATGTGTCAATCATAGCACCACTTTGGGAAAGCCCAACTTGGCCCAAAGAGATGGGTGGGGCCTCACCTGTCATAATCCTGGCAAACCTCGCCCACTGCCACCAGGGCCCTCAGGTACTCGTTGGGTTGGTAAGGATTGATGTGGTGGAGGGAGCAACTGTTCCTTGGGTCACCGTTGGAGGCTGTGAAGTCGATGGCTACCTGCAAGGGCCAGGGATGAACGTCATTGTACACTGCACTGTCTGCCTCCACTGGACAGGCAAGAAGTACCCAAACCCGGTTTGATGTCAAGAGCCTAGCATCTCAGTTTCCCCAGCTTTTTGCAAGCTTGACTATTCACTGGAATTACTCACTACCCCCCAGCTGATGAGGGGACCACCCAGACCCTGGAAACCCTAAGTCTCACTCTTGGAATCCCAGGATGATATTGACCCTGTCCTCTGGGAGAATCTCTGAGCAAAACTTGCCTCAGAGGGACAAGGCCCACAGAAACACTCAATTCTCAATGACTATAGCCCTTTCTTGGCCTCGTCCTCTCTGTGCTTTCCATCTCATCATCCTCAAGGCCACCATAGGTATGACTCTGTTCATCAGCCCAGCATAGCTGTGCATAAACACAGGTAGCAGTCTATGATAGCCTCCCCTAGACCTTCTGTCCAGCCTACTACTGTCTGTAGTCTGTCCAAGGCTAAGGCAGCTGGACTCTGCAGCCCTTGTTAACCACTCCTGTTTTCCTCTTTAAGGTTTTTTGTTGGTTTTTCTCCTGCCTCTACAATTTTGTAGATGGTAAGCACTGGATACTGCTGGGGGAGGGTGGCCCAGGACTGGTCCTCAACTCCTGCATCCTATTTCTTGTCAGCATAAAGGGAAATTCGACACAGGGAAATGTAGATGAAAAAGGAACAGCAAGCGCCCAGGAACCTGCCATTCTCTGTATATGGACTGATGTGGTCCTGCCCCGTTGACTGGGGGCCACATGGAGGGCAGAGCCCATAGACTCACCGTGCAGTGGATCTGGCAGCCACCCATGATGTAATCCAGGAAGGAGTGGACCCTGTGGAGCTTCCAGGCAATGCCGTTGGCAAAACCACTTATGACCCCCTCATCCCACCCTACTCCACCCAGAAAAGCAGGCCTGTGTCAGTGGGGTAGGGAGTCTATGGGCATCTCTCCCCTAGGCACTATAGTCTGTGGGAGCACCCTCCATGACCTCCTCCCTCACCCTTCCCAGGTATTTCAAGACCCCACAAGGAAGCTCACCAGACCTCAGAACTGGACCTTTGAGAACCATCTGACAACATGGAGACGCCAGTCCCACCAACCCATCTCCCTCGGGGCTGCGGGCAAGACTGAGGCTCACCTTCAGGTCTGCCAGGACCACCACCCCAGAGTTCTTGTAATTGCGCTTCTTCTGTTTGTACTTGGCATTCACACAGTCCCACTGGGCCTGGGACAGGGACAGGGACAGGGACAGGCAGAAACTCCACCCAGAACAGCAGTATCCAGGCCCCTCCCACAGAGGGGCAGGAGACCATGGTGACTGCTGGTGACCTCAGACTCCACAAGACTATCTCCACCAGTGAGTATGAGGCCCATGCTGCCCATAGGGGTCAGGGATGGCCTCTGTGGTGACATACCCATCCCACAAAGGGTCCTGGTTAGACTCTGTACACACTGCAGCCTTGGCACCACAGTCAGCCATACCCTGAGCCTTCCTGAGGGACACCAGGGCCCGAGAAGGAACCCAACTCTCCCACCACACCCAGCTAGCTACAGAGGGCTAGGCAGGTCCCAGCAAGAGTGCTCCTCCCACCTCGACACACACGGACATGGTCGCTCACTTGGTCACTTGCTTGCAGGCCCCTGTTCTGGTCACGTGGTGGGTGTCACTGCTCTTTGTCATCATTATGTCTTCTCTGGGGTGGGGTAGAATAACTAGCCTCCCAGAGACCCACTAGAACTAGTCAGAACTTGTGGCCAGGGATGGTCCAGTACTCACCTGCTCCTCCTCAAAGGCCTTCTGCATCTCTGCGAAGGTGGTGGTGAAGTCACCGATGAAGTCATGTTTTCCTCGGGAGTCATAGTCCCAGACCAGGCACTGTGAAGCCCGGGCCTCTCAGTGGACTGTTCCTCAGAGGACCTGGGGCTCTTCCAGCCCTGGCTAAGCTGTCATTTATCCTCGGTCTCCCCTTGTCCACAGGTCCTAACTCTCTAAGGCTGTAGTGGCTCTGGGAGAACTGGACACCCGTCCATGGGCCCTGGCCCTGACTCTATGGCTATGCCCCTACTCCCCCACACTCTAACCCTGACCCCCACCTCCAGTCCTGTGCCCTGCTTCATCCCCACCTTCAGAGGCCGTGTCTCCTCGCAGCTGCAGAGTGAATTCAGGGACACCTTGAAGGGTTCCCACACTGGGTTAAGGTTATTCTTCACTACCTGTGGGCCAGAAAAGACTGACTTAGGTGGGAACCCTAAGGGAGCTAGGGCCCAGGGAGTCCTGGGGTCCTTAGGTCATAGGTCCCTTAGCCAGGATACAGGGCTCTCAGAGTCCTGGGATACACAGCTGGGAAGGGGCACTTGGGTGGCAGCCTGTACCTTGTCCCGTGGAGAGTATGCGTACCAGGAGACTAGGCTCAATCCAGGCTCCAAACAGGATTGGGTGTGCCCAGACCTTTCCACTCTCCACTCCCTCCACCCCTGACCCTAATCGCTTCTGCCTCACTCCAGCCACCCAGGCTGTTTTCTCCTTAAATAGATTCTCTTCACTCAAATTAATTTGTCTCAAAAGGAAACTCTCTCCCTGCTGTAACTAAAATCCTGTTTCCCGGCAGGAGGAAGCAGGTATGCCTAAAAATAGGATCGGTGACAACAAAGCTGCCACACTAAATTTGGGCGGACAGAGAGCCAAGTCCACCCAGCTGTTCCATCCATGGAAAGAGAGTAAAGGGTCTTAGAAGTGAAGACTCCACAGCCACATGGTCAGGGTATCCCTCTGTCCCCGCTCTGAGAGGATGCTGGGCCCTTTCTGGTCACTTCATTTGACCCCAGAAGCCCCTCTCTCATCAGGCAGTGGGTCCTTACCTCTGTCCTGTACACCAGCTGCTCACTCCCATCGTCATTCACCCGATACAACTCTAGGAAGGGGTCCGACTTGCTGAAGAGATCCTGGAGCAGCAGAGGATGTGCTGGCAAGGGGGCTAGCCAAGTCTGGGTTTGAGGGTGGCTCCCTCCCTTACAGCTGGATGCTGCCTCCATCCCTTGCAGTTTGGTGTTTCATCCCTTCCCCACAGACTTAATCTCCCCAGGCATAACATAAGTTGCAAATGTTCCCTGAGAGTCCACAGTGATAAGAACTTGACATTTGGAGCCTTCACTGGCGTCTGATGCATCCATGATGGCCCCAGGTGGGTTTCTACAACCCCCGCCCTCACTCCTGGGGCCTGGTGTCTAAACAATTGTTCACACCCTTGCTTGTCCCGGCTTAAGTATCTCAAAGGAGACAGGTACCTATTCAGGGTCAGTTCTCACTCCGTGAGAAGAACCTACGAACCAGGCTCAGTCCCAATTCAAAACAGTGACCCCACTGTCCTCCCTGGGCCTCTCTCCCCATCATTAAACAAGTAGTCTGCCAGAGGTAGCTTAGTGATCACGTGTCACGATTCGATGCAGAACAGTGCTTTCTACCCATATAACAGAGTGTGTGTGTATGTAGCTGGAGGGTGATGGTGATGACAGTGATGACTGTAAAATGTAACAGTTAGCAATGAACATAGTGACTAGGCCAAAACTGTGACAGCAGCATGCCAAGGGCTCCACACACAGCCGTCATGTAACTTGTTTCTGAAGCTTAGAGGCCAGTGATGAGCAGGAACTAGGTTTTTATAATGAGCCAGCCTGCACGAGGCTCAGAGCCTGATGTGCAGTGAATCCTAGAGCCTCACCTTGTCATCCAGTTTCCTGGCTTGGAAGGAGAGCTCCACGTAGCCATTGTTCCCAGAGATGTCCTCTGCTATCACCTGAGCGTGTCACATGGGATCCGTGGGCTCCAGGCCACCAGTCTCATACTCTGGCTTCAGCTGCCACTGACCCTGAGGGGGCTCTGGTCTCTCCTAGCAGCTCCACAGCTACAGCCCATCTGAGGCCTCCCTACTCACCTCCTCCCAAGACACCCCTCCCCCAGGCCATGTGGGAAGGGACAATCTCAGCCCTGGATCTCACCGTGATGGTGGATTTGCCAGCATTTCTGCCAAATCTCAACAGCAATGGGCGTGTCATTTTCTTCTGGGCCACAATCTGGAAACACAAGGGAGTCAGCAAGGATGAAGGATGAAGGGATGGTCCTCAGCCCCACTAGGGTCTTACTTCCGCTCTCCCTGGGTCCCCACCATCCCCTGAGCTCTGGTGACCTTCCTGCTGTTGCCAGAATGTGCTACTTGACATCTGTTTGCCATCTCTCACTTCCACCACTCCTGCCTGTGGGGTACACACATCACAAAGTTAGCATAGGGTGGCTGGTTGAATAGTTCTGAGCCCCACCCTGGGTCCCTACTGTCCCAAACAAGTCAGGGTGGCCCTGGGGTGGCAGAAGGAGCACACTTGACTTTTCTGCACCAGTGCCTGCTTAGAGAGGGCCATTCAGATGCAAGTCCCAATGTGCAGTTCCTAGAGAATTCATCTCCAGGCTTGGCCTCTCCTCCTTGCCTGTCTCACTGGGTAGATAGCTCACCCATGGAGCAATACGCCCCTAACTTAAGGAAGGAGATGACTTCACATAGGCTCAGGCTGCAAACAGCATATCACCTGCCCAGCAGGGAACATAGGCAAGATTGAGTAAACCCTATTGGGCAGCATACCCTGGTCAGAATAACAGCCCTTCACATCTCCCTGGAGAAATCAGTGGCTCTGTGTATGAAGGCCTGGGGTGGTTTTGTTTATAGGGTAGCTATCACCTTGACACCAGGAGTGCTATCTGCCTCACATTTGCTACTGGATGGTGGACACCAGGGGGTGATGGTAAAAAGGGTGATATATTGTGGTACCTGACAAGGAGCCAAGCTGACTTCGGTGCAGACAATGCACAAAGTTGTGTTCAAGTAAAGAATCTGTATGTGTCCATCTGCGTGTGGCCATGTATGTCTATATATGTTCCTGTTGCTCAGTCCCACCTGGACTGTGGTGCATGTGTGCATGTGTGTGGAGGTGTCTGTCTAGGACTGTGCCATCTTCCCTAGGAACCTGGAAGGAATTGTATCCCACTTCATCTCAGTCTTTGTTATGTAAAATGGGGATGACAAAAAGATCTAAAGAGTGAGCCCTGACCAGGCCGTGACAGGGATGAGTCACACACTCGATGTTGGAATGGAGAATCAGACACCCAGAGTATGCCATGTGGTTAACACACAGGAAACCCGAGAACAGAAAGAGCCAGGGGACTGGCTGGCGAGGGCAGCCTGCGGGGTGACAGAAATGGTCATCTAGTCAGTAGACATCACATGAAACTGTCCATCTCAGTGCCCTCACTTTGTTGCCTATAAACTATTCCTTAATGTAAATGACATCCTATGGTAAGCTAGGATATAGCACACAGCCCAAAGTAACCAATAGCAGTAAAGTGCTTGTCACATGGGCAAAGACAATGGCTCCAGGCTACCAGCAGAACCCCCTAGGCAGGATAGCATTACTCCCCTCAACCCCAGCCGCAAGGAAAAATATGAAGACCTCCCCCTGCCTTGTGTGGAATAGAACCCAGAACCTCAAACGTTAGTTACAAGTACCACCACTGAGCTGTGCATCAGGCTCTGGAAGATATAAGTGTGTATGTGGAAAGACCCATGAAGAGAAAAAAGAACAAGTCACAGGGTGAGTGTGGTTTGGGGAAGCAGGATATAAGGAACGGGGGAAGGGAGAGAGAGGGAGGGAGGAAGGGGAGAGGGAGAGATTTTAAAGACAGGATCTTACTATGCTGCCCAGGAAATGGTAGTAATCCTCCTTCCTCAGCCTGCTGAGAGCTGGGATTACAGGCGGGAGCCATTACAGCTGTGGCTTTCTTTCTTTCTTTTCTTCCTTCCTTCCTTCCTTCCTTTCTTTTTTCTTGTGTTGAGACAGAGTCTCAAATAGCTCAGACTGGTCTCATTTGATATGTGTTTGATGATGGCCTTGAACTCTTGATCCTCCTGCCTTTAACTCCCAAATGTTGGAATCACAGGCATGTACTATCATACCTGGTTTGTGGGAGAGAGTGTATGCGTGTGCATGTATGTGTGGGTGTGCATTTCTCTGTGTGTGAAGGCCAGAGGAGGACATAAGGTCCTGTCTAGCACTCTCTACCTTAATTGTCTTGACACAGTGTCTCTCACAGAACCTGGAATTAGTTTGAAGGCCAATAAACTCCAATAATTTTCCTGTCTCCACCCCCAATGCTTGTGGGTGCTAGAAATTTGAACTTAGGTCCTCAGGTTTATGCAACAAGAGCTCTTAACAGGTGAGGCATTTTCCCAGGTTCCCCCTCTCCCAGCCTCATGTATTCTAAGTTGGCTTCAAATTCACCATATAGCTGAAGATCTTAATTTTTTTTTAAGTTAAGATCTCTATGTAGCCTTAGCTGAAACTCACTTTGTAGACCAGGCTGGTTTTGAACTCACAGAGATCTACCTGCTTCTGCCTCCTGGGTGCTGGAATTAAAAATGTGAACCACCATGCCTGGCAATCTTAACTCTCTGACTGTCTCATCTCTACTCCTTTTATGTGGGGCTGGGGACATCAGACCCAGGGCTTTGTGAACAATAGGCAAGCACTCTATCAACTGAGGTGCATTCCCACCTAGCAATTCTTAAGAAGAATTTGTATGTTTATTCTCTCATGGGAGAACATTTCTCTGAAATGAGTACAAAGACCTAGTGACAGGGCTGGTCAGGGGCTGGAGGGAGACATATCAGAACAGACTCACTGGAAACATGGGAACATATAACCCAGTTCAAAAATGTTAAAAACTGGTCTGGTATTGCATGCCTGTAATTTCAGTGATTGAGAAATGGGAACAAGATCAGAAATTCAATATCATCCTTGGCAATATAGGGTGTTCAAGGCAAGACCAACCTGAGCCATATGTCTTCCTGTTTTCACACACACACACACACACACACACACACACACACACACACACCCCTCTTTAAAAAAAAGCAAACAAACAAAAATTCTAGGAGAGACGGCTTAGCAGGTGGGAGTATTGCTGCTTTTGCAGAGGACCCAGGTTTGGCTCCCAGCACCAACATAGAGGCTCGCAGCTATCTGTAACTCTGCTTCTAGGGTCACAGAAGGAACATGGTATACAGATATAGCTTCATGCAAAACACCCATACTCATAAAATGAATAAATTGTTAAAAATTGATGAGGGCCAGGGTTGGTAGGTAGCACATGCCCTACTGCCAGCACTTGGGAGGCAGAGACAGGTAGATCTCTATGAGTGTCCCAGGAGCAGCCAGGGCTACATAATGAGACCCTGTAAAACAAACAATACAACTAATAAGAAAAGGTGGACATACTGGTACACTCCTGCAAGACTCAGGAGGCTGAGGCAGGAGGATCTTTAAAACAGGTGCTTTTAAAGAGGAGCTGAGGTAGGCAGAGCCAGATGCTCATCCTTGCAGAATCCCTGAGTTGAGGTCATCGCTGCCCTAGAAGCTACTCTTTCCCTCCTCCTTCCAAGGTAATGGGTACTCACTTGCCCCAAGGTACACTCCATGCCCCCTAGGAAGTCGTCATCCTGGCAACTCAGCCCACTAGGCCCATGGGTGTCATACACCTCAAATCGTAGCTTCTGCACCTCCTCGAAGTAATAGTCGATAGTGAAGACCTTGGAGAACACCGGATGCAGGCTGCTCTTCACCACCTCGGTTCTGTCCACCTGCAACAAGCCTCATCCCGTCAGCCAACCTGACAGGTGAGCCCTCCCTACAGACCGACCTGAGTTCCTACCGTCTCCCCTCCCACTCATCCCAAGCCTGTTTTCTGTTGATGGGACTCATCTCCCACCTGTGTATATATGATTACAGAGGCACTTTTACACCTGGGATTAAAAAAAAAAAACATCCCTCTCCCAGCCAGCCAAAGGCTACCGTTTCTCTGTATCCTCTCATCTCATGCCCACTACTGCCTACCTATCCCCACATTACAGATGGCAAAACTGAGGCTCAGAGACCATCAGGGAGAATTCTGCCCAAGGACCAAGATGGCAGGGACAGCATCAGATTCTGACCCTGGGCAGGGCAAGCCCAGTGTGAAGACCTTTCCCCAGCACTCAGCTGAGTGGCAAAAAATTCCCCTGCTGGAGGGACTTGAGCTCACTAGTCTCCCCCACTGAGTTCAGCACCCTCCATAGACCAATGAAAAACTAATAGAGTATCAAATCCCCTTACCATAGAGACTTCTACATACAAAGCAGGGTCTGCATGGGCCCTTTGCAGAAATATATACACCAGACCAAGCAATACAATGATATGGAAGGACCTGAGTCACAAGATGGCCCTTAAATATCCTGGAGTAGCACCCCCCATAATCTGGAGTAGCAGAAGCCTCCCCATACGTTCTAGGGACTTAAACACATAGTTTAGGGCAGCCCTTCATCTTCAAGGTCAGTGAACTGCAGATTTCTCAGCCCCAGAGCCTAAGAAACACCCTGGAGTGCCCGAGTGAATATGCAGAGCAGATGTTATGTGAAGTACCACCCCCATGATATGTCTCCCCCTTCACTGCCTGCATCCTCTGTGCACTCTGGGGTCCATGGGCACCCCATGATAGTCACAGGGTCACCCCTTTCCCGGCTCTTCTTCCCTGCTTCTTGCACCTGTCTGCCACAGCCAAGGGGTACCCCACAGCTGCTGGTGGAGGGACACTCTTGCTTGGGTAGGGACTCAGGCTCAAGTCTTTTATACCTGTTAGGCCTCCTAACTAAAGTGCCCCTGTTTATCACTCCTGAGATGAAGCCTGTACCCCATGGGAGATGGGACTGAGAAAAGGTTTTGTACAGCATAGACCATGGGCAACATCCCTGACATTGGCACTAAGAGCTGAGGGCTTATGAAAGCTAGTGACTACAGGCAAACACACTTCCCTGAAGATGCTGGCTACCCTGGGTTTATGGGTGTCCAGTGGAAAAACCCCAGGCTGGAGGTAGACCCTCAGATCTGGGTAGGCAGGGGGCGTTAAGGAGTGGGGAGGGGCTTGCTGTCCTCAGCCTGGTACCCACATGTGTATAATTTGTGATTTCTCCTAATAAACAGTGAGGAGACAGGGACAGGTTAGGTAGTCCTCTTGCCAGTGTGACTTGAATCTGCAGGATGTAGTCGCTGTCCAGCCCTGCCCAGCTCCATTCTACCCAACCAGTGAGGTCTAGCTAGCAGCCCTAACGCTGGCCATCCTACTTCAGGTGCCTTTGCTTAATGGGTGAGAAAGAAGCTCAAAGCTATGGCAGCCAATAGAGGGGGGACCCTGTGACCTTAGACAGACCCTATATCTGCCTCAGGCGTTGCCATCTCATGCCTGAGCCGCACTCCCTCCTGAGCTCATTAGTCTAGCCTGGGCGCTTCACTCTATCTAGCTCTACAGTCCCAGCCTGAGACCCTCGGCTGCACTTCTGAGCACTTTTCATCAAGGTCCCTTTCAGCCGCTGTTCCCTTGTTGCCCCGCCCTTCTCACAGTAGGTGGACACCTCCTCTTTTGCCCTAGTAGCCCCAGTTTTGGGACACCCTTGTCAGCACCCCAAATCTCAACTCACACTTAGATCTTCAAGCGCCCAGCTCCAGAACGCTGGCCGCCCTACCTGTAGCCACTGGCCCTGTGCCTGCTGCAGCAGCACCACGCTGGGGTCGGACTTGGTCAGCGGGTCCCGGTCCAGCAGGTGCCGACAGCTCAACCGCAGCTCCACCTTCGAGGCGCAGGGTGCAGGCACCACCCCCGGGGCCACCGCGCGCTCCGAGTCCCCACTCATGCTTCAGGCTCCGCACTCGAACCGGTGGGCGCCAGAGAAATGGTGGCCGGGCCAGGCGTGGCCGCGCTCCCCCGCACGCCCGCCGGGCGCGGGCACACGTGTCTCGGGCGGCCGCCACAGCGCGGGGGCTGTAGGGCGGCGATGCAGTGGGGAAGGGATGGAGGGGACCGCGAAGGGGCGGGGCCAGGGTGGGGCCATAGGAGAAAAGCTCAGGGACTAAGCAGGGAGCAGATAGCCGGGAGAGCCGCCCCTTGGAGCTGAGTTTCGATCCCTGCACTGGAGCTGAGAGATAGGAGTCTGGGTTGCATGAAAGCTCTGGGACTGTGGTGTCTCTATAGGGTTCATTCGGTGCTCAAGGCTCTGCACTGCTGGTATCTAGGCACCGGGTTTGCTTCCAGACGGCTTCCAAGAGAAGCACAACCCACCCCAGAGTCACACTAAAGCCTGCACTCCTCTTAGAATTGTCACCTGAATCAACAAGCAACTCAGTGGGAGCTCACTGTTTGCCCGTGCAAGCTGGGGAAAGAAAGGCTGTCCCTCTCTCACAATTTGTAGGCCCGAGGTAGGCAAGGAGAGCTCTTGCCAACTTCTGGTGTATGGCTGAGGGTTCTCCCCCAGCCACTCTTACCTGGCAATTCTGCAACCAACCCCCAGGTGGAAGGGAAGCTTTCATTACCTCTCCCTCTTCTCCCCAGAGGAGGTGTTGGCTATGACAGAAATCACCTCCCAGCCCATTCATTCTTTTTACCAATTTCTGCCTAATATAGTGCAGAGACCTGACCTAAAGCCATGGGAGTAGGAGGGTAAGGATGACTGTGAGTCGCAGGGTGGGAAATGAGGTGAAGATGGCCGGAGAGCTGTAGTGCAGGGCAGGGTGTGTGTGTGTGTGTGTGTGTGTGTGTGTGTGTGTGTGTGTGTGTCTGTGTCTGTGTCTGTGTCTGTGTGTCTGTGCGTAGGAGTGGAGTGAAGCATGTTAAACACCAACAAATAGTACTCCAGAAGATTCTGGGTCAAAGGGGTGTCAATACCAAGACAGGGATATATGAGGTGGTGGAGGATGGGGCATGGGGTGGGAGGAAGCACCTAGTACCCTCCCTCCCTCCGGTGAGGGGGACACTGACAAGATGCGGTGGGGAACAATGTCTCCTCTACCAGCTTGGCACCATGGACCCATGCCATCAGCCAAGGGTCTTCTTGTGGGTTCAGTACATGGGGCTGTGGCACCTACCCTCCACGTCCTCAGAGAGCAGAAAGATGCCTGGAAGCTCACCTGTTACCTTCCAGCCTCCCCAGCTGCTCTGGATCACCCTTCTCCAAGGCTAGTCCCACACAGGACTCTGGCTCTGGGCTGTCTTCCAGGACTGGGAGACCCCACCTTTAGCCCACCAATTGCTTGTGGGGTTGTGGTGATGGCTTTCTGTTCACAGGGAACTGTGATTCTCCTGGAGCCTTGTTCCCTGATATCCTGCCATTCTGGGTCAGACTCTTAACCTCTTGGCCTCTCAACCTTGAACATGAGCAAAAAGAATGAGAAATCCAAGCAAAGGACCATTCTCCAAATAGATATCCAGACCTCTCAATGGACCAGCACTGCCAGCAGGGACCCTGGTCTCTCCAACAGAATTTGAGGGTCACTGGTCTTTGGGAAGTTCCCAGGTCCCAGCCAGACTTGTTGCCTTGATATGACTGAGTATCCACTCCTTTATTCAGGAGGCTGCTCTACAACTCCTCCCACACCAAGCCCTACCTTGTCTAGGAAGACTGCTGGACAGCACTAAACTGTGGACACATCCACCCCATCCATTTTAAAGGGAGAGGCATCAAAGATTTTAGCACAATGAAATGGCTGGTGCAGGCCAAGGTGCTTGCTACCAAGCCTGACAACCTCCTGGAAACTACATGGTAGAAGGAGAGAACTGATCTCTATGTACATGCACAGACAGACACACAGACACACAGATGCACATGGGAGGGGGAATGAATTTACAAAGAAAAAGTTCCCTTAAAAAGGAGTCAGAGGGGCAGTGGTGGTGTCACACACCTTCATTCCCAGCACCTGGGAAGCAGAGGCAAGAGGATCCTTGTAAATTCGAGGCCAGCCTGGTCTACATAGTGAGTCCCAAGACAGCCAAGCGTTCATAAGACCTTGTTTCAAAACAAACAAAAAAGGTTCAAAGGGCTGGAGAAATGACTCAGCAGTTAAAAGTACTTACTGTTCTTAGTTCAGTTCCAGGCATCCATGTCAGATTAATGCTAACCACCTGTTACTCCATCCAGGGGTATCTGATGCCTCTGGCCGACTCAAACACCAACACTCACAAGCATATACCCATACAAAGACACAGACAGATAATTAAAAACACAATAAACTTTTTTAAAAGCAGTAAAGTGTTCAGGAGCTGCTCCAAAGCCGCCTGCCTGTCTGAGGGGTTCAGTGTTTCACCCAGAGTCTGGTTCAAGATTAACATCACAAAAGTCCAGCTGTAGGGCAAGTGACAGATGGTCAGTCAGAGAAAGAGAGAAAAGAAGACTCAAGAAGTTTGGTAGCTGGTATCTCAGACCAAAGGTTAAAACCTCCTGGAAGCTAGCTTGGTGTTTGCTGGCCCCTGGTGGCCCTGACTTCGCTAATAGGCGAACAGAAACTATGGGGGACAAGCTGGTGTCCCCATAGCCCTGTTCTACTTGATGCTTAGGCCAATGCCCCTGCCTCAGTGCCAGTCCCATGGTCTATGGGCCAGGGAGGGTGAGGCTTGCCCCACCTCCCAGCACTAGGTAACAATGAATTCCTTCTGCTCCCAGCTTCTGCTGCCTCAGGTTTTTCTGCTAGCCAGACACAGGAAATGAGATCTCCCTTCAACTGTATTTTGTTATTACCGTACAGGAAATAACATGTCAGTGCTGAAATGTTAAAATACTGATAAGTGAGCAAAAAAAAAATATTTTTAATTGAACACCCAGACATAAAACCATTATCATCTTATATCTATCCCTCTAACTTTTTAAATGCAAAAATGTTTTCATTAGTCGATGGGGTTTTGTTTGTTTGGCTGGTTTTTGTAAAGGAAGTTTTTGTTTTCTTTTTTTATTTTGTTTTGTTTTATGAGACAGGATCTCTCTATGTAGCCTTGACCTCCCAAGTCCTGGAATTAAATGTGTGTAGCATGCCTGAGGGGTTTCTTTTTTAAAAGATTTAAATTTCTCTGTGTATGAGTGTTTGCCTGCCTGTATATATGTATGTGCACCATTTATATCTAGTGTCCTTCCCAGAAGAGTGTATTGGATCCCTTAGAACTGGAGTTACAAATGCTTGTGAACCTCTATGTGGATGCTGGGGACTGAACCCAGGTCCTCTGCAAGAGAAGCAAGTGCTGTTGGGGCTGAAGAAATGGCTCAGGAGTTAAGAACTCTTTTAGAACCAGGAGGTGGTGGTGTACACCTTTAATCCCAGCACCCAGGAGGCAGACACAGGCAGATCTCTGTGAGTTCAAGACCAGCCAGGTCTACAAGAACTAGTTCCAGGACAGGCTCCTAGGCTACATGGAGAAACCCTGTTTCAAAAAAAAAAAAAAAACCTTTTCTGGAGGATTCACAATAATTTATAACTCCACTTGCAGGGGATTTGATGCTCTTTTCTGGTCTCTTCAGGCACCCCTATGTAGTGCACAGACAGACATGCATGCAAAACACCTATTTACATAAAACAAAATTTATAAGTTAAAATATATCTTATTTTTCCTTTTAATTCAAATATAGTTGCAAAACTATGGGAAACAATATAACAGAACATATGTTTTATGTGTTTATTTTATGTGCATGAGTATTTAGCCTGTATGTATATGCACTCAATGTGTGCTTGCTGTCCTTGCAGGCCAAGAAAGGATGCCAGATATCATAGACCAAGTTATAGGCAGTACAAACCACAGCCATGTTTGTTCTGGGGACCTAACCCAGGCTCTCTTTAAGAACAACAGCTAAAAATAACAATGCTTTAATGCTTTTAACTAGGGAGCCATCTCTCCAAGCCTCTTTTGTGATCCCCCCCAGTGGTATCAGTAATTCCATTAATTTTATTGATTTTTTTTCTTGAGAATTTCATACATGAGTTGGGCAATGGTGCTGCACACCTGTAATCCCAGAACTCCAGAGGCAAAGGCATGTGAATTTCTGAGTTCAAGGCCAGCCTGGTCTACAGGACAACCAGGACTACACAGAGAAACTCTGTTTAAAAAAAAAAAAAAAAAAAAAAAAAAAAAGAAAAGAAAAAGAGAGAGATTTCATATATACTGTATTTACATCTCTCCCATCCCCCCCCAACTTTTCTGGTGTCCTCCTACTCCTTCTCAAATCCATAACCTCTTCTTTAGTTTAATCTTTTTTGGTTTTTGAGACAGGGTTTCACTGTATAGCCCAGGCTGTTCTGGAACTCATTCTGTAGGCCAGGCTTGCCTCAAATTCACGGAGATCTGCCTGCCTCCTGAGTGCTGGGATTAAAGAGTGCTGCCAAACTCTCTTTAGTTATTCTTGTTACACACACACACACATACACACACACACACATATATATATATTTATATACATGTGTACATATGTACACACATATATAGCCATATACACATATGTACATATATATATATATACACACACACACACACACACACATACACACACACACACACACACACACATACACACACACACACACAGCCTACTGGGTCCGCCCATTTAGTGTTGCTTATATGTGTATGTGTTTAGGGCTGACTGCTTTGGATTGGATAATCTATCTAGGATCTTGTTTCTGGACAAAAGTGACACAGTCCACACTGGCTGGCATGCAACTGGTATTGTCACTGTACATATCTTGTTTAATGTTGTAGTTCCCTGTCATATGTGGAAGTCACTATCTCACAGCAAATGTCTGGTTCTCTGACTGTTACAGTTTTTCTGCCCCCTGCTCCATGATGTTTCCTTAGCTTGTAATGCTCCCTACAAGATCCAAAGACTAACAAAAACCCCAGTGCCAGCCATGGGAAACCTCCCTTTGAGTTGTTACTCAGAGGAGTCAAAAAGATTCTCCAGATAATACAGGAGATTGCCATTGCTCTAGGTTGCCTCCCAGAACTGAAGGTAAGACTGTTGATGAGGTCATCAGGTGCTTCAGACAGTGGAGT